CTATACCAGGAAGGTGGGTGTATTAGTATTGCTGCTGAAACAAATAACCACAAACTTAGTGGTTTAAAATTACTGTGAATGGGCAGGCTTTCTTGATTTCTCTTTCTGCTTGTTCACTATTGGTGAATAGAAATGCTACTGATTTTTGTGTGTTGATTTTGAATCCTGCTACTGTGCTGAACTCTTTTATCACCTCTAAGAGTTTTTTAGTAGATGATTTGGGCTGTTCGATATATAGGATCATATCATCTGCAAACAGGGACAGTTTTCATTCCTTTTAAAAGGATCTCCTTACCTGAAATTCTGAGACTTGCTTCCTGGGCTCTCGCTGTTTGTAGAGACAGAGGAAAGGCCGTGTTACAAAAACCTTGCCTTAGTGATAGCACTTGACACTTTTCATATTTTCTCCTCATTTGATTCCGTACTCAGAGTTGATAACTTTTTTCTCATCTGGAGAAAATAAGGGGAAAGGACAGGTTATCTGGTTAATATCAGAATTCAGACGGCTTCAAATGTTTTCTTTGGAATCCAACTGGCATGGATAATAATTCTTTGTGTTTTAGGGCATATTCTCTAAGTTCTCTGAGTCTCTTAAGGTGAGATGTTACTATCTGCCTTAGCTAGGAGCGAGGCTTGAATGAGATGGTGTGTATAAAATCTTTAACAGTGTCTGGAATCTGAGATGATCAGTAAATGTTTCTTTTCCTTTCCCCCTCCCTCCTGTGCTGACTCCATTTTATAAGAAAGAGAGGTGAAGGACAGAACATCTTGTAGGCCAGGCATGTGTAGTAACTTAAAAAACATCCGATGAGAAAGCAGTAAATAGATGAAATATTTGGGAATGTGGAACTATAGGTGCCAAATCCAAACCTCTGAAATAGTAAATTTCTTAATTTTTTTCTTAAGACCAGAGACTGTCTTGGGTCCATGTTTTGTGATTTCTGATTGTCAAATTTGTCTGAAGATGTCTGTGTTTAGAGATCCAGAGTTTCAATGTGGTTGGGTTGAATTGGAAAGCAGATTTACCTCAGCTGCTGTTTTGTTGTATTTTTCTTCCAGATCCAACATGAATGAAGTTTCCTGCAAAAAACGGGATGACTTTTTGGAATGGCCTGAGTATTTCATGGCAGTGGCCTTCTTATCAGCACAGAGAAGCAAAGATCCAAATTCCCAGGTAAATGAATTTCACTGGAGAATGTTTGGTTATTCACAGACAAAGAGATGCCCACAAGTGAGCAAAATTACAAAAAGGGAAGCAAATTACGAAATTAAAAGCAAATCCCAAAAATGGACGGCTGTCAACTTAAAAATGCAGAGTAAATTTGCCACCTTTTGTGCAGCATTCCTGCATGCCTACATTTTCCTGTGAGAGAGTCAGGTGTCACGTGCCGTTGTTAGCTGTCTCTTGTGCCCCCTTTGGGGCTGGGGGTGCACTTTTCTTGGCTTGTGGGAGCTGCCACAGAAAACAAACAAGGAGACAGCGCTCAGCACCTCCAGCAGCTATGTGTCTGTTTTGAGCTGTGCAGCCCCTCTGGTTACATTCATTGCCTCCCCAGTGGTAGACCAGCCACTTGCAGTCACCAAGCCTTTGGGCATGTTTCCCTGTAGGTCGGAGCCTGCATCGTGAATGCAGAAAATAAGATTGTTGGGATCGGGTATAATGGAATGCCGAATGGGTGCAGTGATGACCTGTTGCCTTGGAGGAGGACAGCGGAGAATAAGCTGGATACCAAATACCCTTATGGTAGGGCATGTTTTATGTTCCATTCTGCATAGTGACATAGTCTGGTGAGTGCTTCATTAAGAAAGTTGATCAGAAGTCATCACCTCCCTTTTCAGTCATCAACAACTGGAAAGAAAAGAAGTTCTATTGAACTACCCCAATTTCCTGTCCCTGTCCCTTAAGTTCCAAAGAGAGTCACAGGTGGAAGCATGTTAGTGGTCTCAGCGTCTAGTCCTGAGGTCCAGGGCTTTTTGCCTTTGGTGGGCGTGGCAGGCTTCACTGCTGGTCTGTACACCAGAGCACTGATGGCAGGCTTCCCTGCAGAGGGCCACAGCCCCTTGCAGAGATAGCTGAGGGATGTTCAAGGGGACTCTGCAGGTGGTTTCATCACTACTTGGAGCAGGGTCTGCTAACCAGGTGCTGCTGGCCGGGGCTTTGCTCTGATGAGAAGCGGGCTTTACTCAGCCCCTCCGCCTGATGAGCACATCTGGCTCAAGCTCATCTTTGGGAGGCAGGAATTAAACTGCGAGCTGGACATCCGGAGATGGATGATGTAGTCACTTCCTCCTGTTTCAGGGGACTCTGTGGTCCCACAGTGGACTGAGGTCAGACCAAAAGCTGGAAGTGTGGAACGGGAAAGCTTTGGCTTGGCCGTCTCTAGATTTCCACTGTGTAACTAGGGAATGGTGCTTCTTAGGATTTATTGCCTGTCTGAGCCCCAGGGAGAATCCCTTCAGAGATTGTCTGAGAGGGACAAGCCACAGCTTCACTTTTCCTTTTATTCCCCAGAGAATATGCAATTGATGCCATAAAAGAGACAAATCGGGTTGAATATGCTGGTTGCTGATTTTTCATAATGTTAGACCCTGTATTTATGTCTGAAAATGAACAGACTGGCTCTGTTGAAAATAAAGTAGATTAAGGCCATCTAAATGGACAAGAGTGTGCCTTCAGGAAACCAAGTTCAAGGCATGATGTAAGACCTTTCTTCTTTGTCGACTCTTCCCTAGTAGATTTTCCTCTGGGTTTTTCTCATGAAGAATCCCAAGTCTACATTTAGTTTAATTTATATATCTTTATTAATGTTCTTGGACCTTAATCATGTTAAATAAGCCCTATAAATTTCTTTTTAACTGCTTAAGAGTAACTCTTCCATGTTTGAAAGAAAAAGAAAAAAGGTGCCTGGAGGTACAGAAGGAATTGAGGAATGAGGATAGGGGTAACTACAAAGCACTCAGGGTTTTCAGGGTGTGAAAAATAGTTGAGTGATTAAGGGGATTTAATAGTCAGATAGTCAATTTAACTTCACCCCTTGTAGGAATAGGAAGAGTGGGATCGGAGTTAGGAGAGTATAAAACTGTCTTAGCCCCAGCTTTAGAGCTAACGGTAGTGAGTGACATGAAAAACATGCTAATGTATTTTAGGAACTTTTTGTTGTTCTGATTTTGATTCTGTAAGTTTTTATTGGTAAGAAGGAAAGGAAATGATTAATTGTTTTTAGGTCCATGCAAAGATAATTTTTCACAATGCAGTTCAATGTCCCATATAAAAATGGTGAAAGTGAAGGGGGTCGATATGTTAAAAGATCTACACTGAAATGTATGACGACCACAGCCAATATTTCACCGAGTCGAGACAGTGAAATATTGGTTCTTATGCTGAACTCTGATATGGAATTCTTAGGAGATGTCAGTTTGTTGTACTCAGGCTGGTTGCAAAAGATCGCAGTGATCAGACCAGTGTAGAGAAGTCCTCAGGGGTCCCTGAGTGGCTCTCCCAATGGAACCTGTCCCTTCTTCAGTCACTGTGAGCACAGGCAGTTTTGCAGCAGGGACCTAGAAGCCAAAGTCTTTGCATTACATTTGTACCCATCCCTCTCAAGCAACTGGTTTTGTTTGTTATGAAGCCCTGCCTTTTGTACAAGTTGGAGACAGTACCTTTTGGAACTCTTTTCCAGAAGGAATTAAAAAAAAAAGAAAAAAAGCCACACAGACATCTGTCCAACTTCACTGATTGTTTTTTATTGAACAGTTGCTGAGTTTCTGGGCAGTGGTTGTCCGTCTGCATTATTTCTAATCATCCTTATGAAGCCTCTAAGTTTTCAAAGCTCTTTGCCCTTACTTATCAATTATTCATTTTATATGTAGCTATGTTAGAATGTAGACGATTTTCTTTCATGTGAGTAAGCTTGTAATTTGTGTACCATAAAAGTTGTAGAAGGTAATAAACCGATTTTAAAAGGCATTTAGTATTACTGCCGTCACAATACTTGGAAAGATGGGCTTTAAGTCTAAGTAACGATGACTGTGTATAAACTGTACACTCATTTTCAAGGCTTCTCAGGCCACAGAGAAGTAAATATTTAGATTGCCTGGCATGTAATAGAAATGTTTGGTGATAATTGACCAAAATGCAAATTCTTTTTTTTTTTTTGCTTCTGTTTTAAGATTTTTTAAATTAATTAAAAAAAAAATAGGATGGCAATGTCTGGAGTGGGGTGGTGGGCTTAACCCTGTGTTTCGTTACCTACATTAATGGTGACTGAGCTGATATTTCAGGAAAGATAGATTCATAGGTTGTGGTAATCCCTGTAAAGGAGTTGTAGAGATTAATAAACGTCTAAAAACCTCCCAGGGCCCGTACATAATGCTAACCTCAGTATTTTGAGTAAGAAAATCTGTAATGACAAAAAACTACTTATCAGTAACAATTTATGTTAATCTGAGCTTTATTAAATCAAACAGCATTTACGTATGTTTGAAAAAAGTTTATGTATGTGCTAGACGTGGTATTAATCCCCTGTGGACCATGCTTGGACCCCTTCAATGGTGCCTCAGTGTTCTGTACCCACAGGATCTAAGCCTACCCCTTTCTTTTAAGTAACTTCTGTAATGTCACACGTGGAGGGTGACAGGGTGACATTCCTAATTCCAAGGTCACTTGTCTTTCTGTTACTCCACTCTGTATCTTTCCTGTGGGGCACAGGAATTCAGCTTTTCTGAAATGTTGATCATCATCTCATTTTGCAGTTGAGCAGATTGAGGCTTAAATAACTCCTCAAGGATCAAGAGCTTGGGAGTGGTAGCCTATGCCTAACATTAGGCACAAAGCCACTTACACATCGCCTACTTTAACATTTCTTTAAAGGGGAGTGCAGTGAACTGAATGTTTGTGTCCCCCAAAATTCGTGTGTTGAAACCCTAATTCTAATGTGATGGTATTTGGAGGTGGGGCCTATAGAAGATGGTTAGGCCATGAAGGTGGAGCTCTTATAAAAGGGACCCCAGAGCACTCTCTCGCTCTCTTTCCACCATGTGAGGACACAAGGAGAAGATAGTAGTCTGCAGCCCTGAGGAGGGGCCTCACCAGAACATGACTGCTGGTACTCTGATCTGGGACTTCTAACATCCAGAACTGTGAAAAATAAATTTCTGTTTATAAGCCGCCCTGTCTAGGGTACTTTGGTATAGCAGCTCAAACTAAGACAGGGAACTTGAAAATTGTGTAAATATGTGTAAATTTGCAGTAAGATACAACTCAATTATTCTTTATTAATTCTGTAAGTTTGGAAGTCATTAGTCTGATTGACACTTTGTGGGAAGCAGGGAAATACAGGACAGGAAGGCATGATAGGAAGACAGAGCGTTTTTCTGATCTTTGTCTCCAGAGAGGCATTTTTAAAGAGTGTTTTTGTTCTTCCAGCTTTAGGATCAAAACTTCATGAAATTATTTGATTATAATGTAGTATTAATATGGAAGATGAAAATTCCCCTTGCTAAAGGATCTGCTTTTTATTTCATCCTTTTCCTGAAAAAAATCCAAAAGATAATATGATGTCAGTAACATTAAGTGGCAGGAAGAAGGCAGCGTTATTATAGTGAGAACCTTTTCAGATAAATGACAATTAAAAAACTGGGAAGCAGCAGATTTATCTAATTTACCATATAAAAAAAACTTTGGAAGATTTGTATTTTTATGATGATGTGGGTTGCTAAACACGTGATAAAGTATTCAGTTGACATTTTTAGTTCCTTTCTCTTTGTGAAATACATTACAGTCAAGCACATTTAATCAAAATATCAATTTTATGAAATGGAGGTAAAATACTCTTGGTAATTCAGATATCACTCTTTCCTTAGGTTTTTGTAACCAGTTTTGATGATATAGTGTACAGACTAGAGAGCTGGAGCAGAATCAACTTCTTCCCGTTGTTAAACTTCCTGGGAATTTTAAATAATGCTTGCTACACTCATCAGGCTGCCCTGCACTTGCGGCCTTGCCATTTCCTGTTGGTGCCTCTTTGCTTGGCCTCGTCTGCCTGTCAAAATCAATCAGGAAGCCAGGATTGCTTTGCCTGCCACACCACACTTCATCAGGAAGGGACCACAGTCTTGATGCCCGCATGAGTGGGTGGTAGCTTCTCTCTGAATGCATTGAGCAGAAATGGAGATGTGGGGCTCTTTCCAGAGTCAGTTTTCTATTTCTACAGGAATACCCTAAAAAGGATATAATGCTGGGAAGAAAATGCTGAAAAACCTGGAATTAATTAAGGCGAGAGTTCAGTGTGGCAACTTTAAGCACTTTTGCCAGTGTGTGGCAGTGCTTCTTTAAATTTTATATTTAAGTTGCATCTTTATTTTTTGGATTTAGCATATTGTTAAGCATGCATAGATGTCATTTTAGTGATTACTTAGCCATTTACCTTACCGCCTTGAACACTGACATTTTCCTGACTGCCATGCATGTGATATATTTCTTTGGCATCCAAAAGGTTAGTCTTGAGAAACTAATTTATCAAGGAGTTAGGAGGCCGATCCTTCTTAAACTATGACTTCCTCACAACTCGTAAGAGCTTCTTAGTAATTAAGATCAAATTTGTTCTTTCAGCCAGTTGGAATTGAATGCCCACTAGTTTTGTTAGGCAGATCCGTGGATTTGCTGACTTGGTGGTGTTTTCTCGTGCAGAATTTAATTTAACTTATAGCTTTCTGCCGTTCCTCCCCTGCCTGGCCATCTAGTAG